ATCCTATGGCTAGGTGCTGTCACTTTATATTGGAGCTAAGTTATAGATCTACGAGCCTCTGTAAAAAAGCATGAGCTTTTATACCCCATGATTTTGTTTTCAGGCTACCATGAACGATGTCAGTAAGCAAACCTGAAGTGCTTCATAATTATTTTTGGTCAGGAAATTTCTTACTCACTGGTTTGTAAACATTATTGGTTTTAATTGGATTTCTAATTAGAAAAATTGGGACCACTTGAAACAAACTTCCACATTTCTTCTGAATGTGGAATTGGGAAGACATAGCATTCTGCATCCTTTAGCAAATGCATAAGGAATCAATTCTGAGAAACTGAGAGATACTTCCTGATCCTGTAAGGACTCCAAGCTAGAGATGGACCATGGAGAGTTAGATCATGAGGCTTAAGAGAATGCTAAATAGTTATAGGTAACACATAATCTGTGGCTTTTTCTTGAATAGCCCCCAACAAAATCACAAATCAGACAGATTAACCCTTATCTTCCTAAAGGTTCTCTCCTGGCATGATGGCTTGAAAGTGATTAGCATACTAGTTCTTTGGCAAAGACTGTCACAAAGACTGCATAGTTAGATGTGTATTATATCTAACATGACTAGAAGAGTTAGTTGATCCCTATGTAAACAGTAGACCATGCAGCAGTATGGTTATTTAATACTTAGAAACCAGGTTCTTCTATACAAACATGCCACTAGATTGAGTCAACTGATTGCAAATGATGAGGACACTGTGAATGACATTCCTGTGTTGTGTTAATATAATATAATTATATTTTTATCCTGCCTTTTTAAAAATATATACATAAGCCAAGGTGGCAAATGTACCTAATATTCCTGCCTATTTTTCTCCACAACAGTTGAATGTAAATATCTAGCCCCTGTTAAAGCTAAACAGTAGCTTTGTTTCATATCCCAGAAATACTTGTCACTTGACTACAGATCAGTGATAAAATTTTACAGCCAGCCTCCTGTGCTATTGCCCTTTTAAGTTATTCCTCCAGGTGACAAGTAGAGCTAATATCTCAGCAGCTGCCTGCTGACTCAACATAGAAATCTTTTACTAGCCTATTACTTAGATTGACATGATAGTCTGCTTATAACAGTGAATTTACACATGCAATTAATATATATATACTGGACTGTTAGATCTAAAATTCAGTTCATTAACTTGGCTTCAAGATGCAACATAGGGAAGGACATTTGGGTTTCAGCTGGAGATTCTGCTTAAAGAAATCTTTGACAAAGCTTGGTTTTAATAAAGTAAAGAACCAATACTGAACAGAACTTATCTGCATTTCAAAAAGCAATGAATGAACTAGTATTAATTGGCAGCTCTCTCTGATACATACTGTTGATAAGCATGTAACAATAAAATTTCCACATTTAATGGTGTTATATAATCTTGTAAACACATTTTCTTCAAACCCTAAACAACAAAGGCGAGAGAAATCAAACATTCAAAATACTCCTACAGAACAAAGGAACTACATTATCAGGCAGGTTAGCCCTATGAACCCTCCAGTTAGCATTTATACTAGCTGAATTCATGATAGCTTCCTCTCCCAGGAGCAAAGTTAAAAGGGCAAGAATACATTGGAAACAAAATTTAAAACAGCAATACTCAGAGCCATTGGCATAGCAATGGCATATTTATCTCAAAACTGCAATTAATTTATAGTAAAAGACTACAAAAGAAAAGAAATACTAATGGGATATATACCAACAAAATTAAATGGTGAGTTAGCATATTAGGGAGACAAAAGTTAGCGTTGATGACTTTCTGGCAAATTAAGCAGATCACCCAACCTTGAGCACAAGGCAGACTCAGTGCCTTCTGATGGCAATCACAGTTGGGCAGAATTTAACAATTTTCAGCACAATTTTAGTAGAAGAACCCATTAGTATAAAGAACAAAACTTAGGTTTTTGGGCAATATATGTGCCTATGCTATATATTAATGTAAAGATTAAGATTTAATGAATTAAAAGAAAACAAATATCATTTTTGCTACAGCTTCATATAAACAAAAGCATAAGAATCATGTAGAAGTAGCAGACTGCTACCACAATAATCAATATATGTTCATAATTACTCATTAAATTGCTGACTGAATAGAAAAAAAATAGAATCTAATTCCAATTCTGAGAATAGAATAGGATTCCATTTTTTAAAGTAACAATTTTATACAACAGCATGAACAATTAAATTATATATAGCAACAGAAATAAGATTTCAGTTTACATTTTGTAAACTTCTAGCTATATTATAGTAGAGTTTTGATGCTTAGCATTCTAAAAGTAGTAGACAAATGCATAAAAACACAAAGTTTGTGAAAACACACCATTGTTATTTTCTAGTTTTTACTAAGCTTAAGAAAAACAAATTCTGTGATAAATGACACTGTTGTACATGGAGTATATCCCCCCACTGAGGCAAAACTGGAAGTGTTTATTAGAAATCTTTCCAGCACAGTTTAACTCACTTTTCTCAATACTTTTTAATCACAGCTTTAAAAGCGATGGAAGAATTGTCATTACTCATCTTCACTGATTTTATTACACTAGCCTCCCTCTCAGGTTCAGCTCTACCCACAGAATGGAAACGATCTAGATTACATTAACTAGCAGACATACAACCTCAGAATGCTTGGATGAAGGAGACATTGAAGATTCCTAATTTTATTTAGCATTCCCCATCCATATTTAGACACTCTGCTCTCTCTTTTGAGTCAAAAATAGGCATTGGAGCCATCATCAACTCACACAATGTGATTCATTCCCTATGCGAATATGGAATCCTCCATCCACTGATTGTTTAATTATCATTTGGATGCTGAGGAGCAGTCTGCTGCTTCCCTGCTACAAATGTGATAGGAGTGCTGGAATGGAGGCAGAGAATAGGAATCCAGCCATCGAACAGGGTTGTTTGAAGCTGAGAAAGCAACAAGGCTTCCATGGAGAAGAAAAGATGATGGAAAGCAGCAGCAGGTAGGGGAAATAATGGTAGAAATCCAGTTTAAGAATTGAATACTTCAGAAGGTTCTTTAAATAAAAATCCCCTGACAGTACAGTGTTCAGTTCAGATTATGAAACCATAACATGTTTGATGAAATCTTGACCAGAGGACAAAGGGTTCTTTTGATGTGTGCCCCTGCCAGATACTTTCTTCTCATTGCCTCCTGTTAATGTAATTGTTCCCCTTTCCTTTTTTAAAATGGCCATTGAAAGTAAATGACCCAGTAAATGGAAGTGAAACAACTCCTGGGATTAAATTCTAACTGTTTAGTTTTTCTGCTTAGAAGGAAAAGCATCAAATCATAAACCACTAACCACTCATTTCAAGTACTCACCCATGGGGGTGGGAGGAGGGGGAACCCCATGTGTTGGGCCTAAGGTAACAATTCTCACTGTTACACCTAAAAAAGCATCTGCCTCACCATTATGAATCTTTTAATTTCATGCTTTTTCATTCCCAATATGTTTGATAAAATCAAGTAGTTCTTAGTCTTCTATTATATATATGAATGGTCTCACTATTGTAGTTATTTATTGAAATACCTATAATTGACTCTAAGTTCTCTATAACACAAAAATAAATCCATGCTCTTTTACAGTTCTTGACAAATTAAGTAGATGGGCAGAAAGGCAAGATATAATTCAAAATAATAACAATACTCTCAAATCAAATAAATTGTTATTGCAGGCATTAACCTGTATAGATAATAATACTAATATCAGCTCTGAACTCAGCTTGTTGAAAAAGAAAGTGCACAAATATGGTAGCATAAATAAAATTAAACAAAAAGTAGCTACTTTGTATGTAATTGGAGAAAATTATTTATAACGGAAAACAAAATATAAAGTCTAAGCCCCAACAAAGGCAGTTTTTGAGGTAATCTCCACAAAGCAGAGTTCTACCCACTGTCTTAATAATTACAATTTCAAGACAACTAAAACCATTTTCAGCTGAAATTTTGGCATCACTACAGTCAGAGTAGACAGCATTACACTGGGTGGACCAATGGACTGACCATATGGGACCCGGAAGTTGGTGGAGCCGGTGCAGTGGCTGTAGTGATTGTTTTGATGAATGGAATTATCTTGGCTGTTTTACTTATTTTTTATTATGGTTTTTTATATGCTATTATATTGTTCCTTCCTTGTTTGTAAATTGTTAAATTGTTGTTTTTACTGTTTTTACATTTGTTTTAACTGTTTGTAAGCTGCCCAGAGTCATATATATGAGATGGGTGGCTATATACATTTGAATAATATATATATATAAATAAATATCTTTATATATAACATTGCTATTGCTGTCACAGTTTCTGGTACACTAATATAAAACCTGAATAGGAGGTTAATAGTAGGATTTGCTGCAAAATACTGCAGTGTGGAGTATTTCTGTTCAGATAACCCATTACAGTCTCTTCCCTCCTATCCATTCTCTCCCAACTCTGTATGTCAGAGTACTCTTTCTACTTCAGATATTTAATGGAGTGCTTTTTATCTCTTACTGCTCTAGGTTTTTCCATAATAGTATTTTGCATGTTTGCAAGCTTTCAGATTTTCCCAACACTGCTAATTTTTCCCTCCTGTAACTAAATGGCAGAGCTTTGCAACATAACAGCACCACTACTGAATATCAGGAATGGAGAGAATGATAAAAGAATTCAGACCAACAAATTTAAATATTTTTTCTGCTCTAAAGATTCATCTTGTGTATATCTCTTAGCCCTATAATGAAATAGTTTCTATTGAATTCCAAGAAATATTTCTTTCTAGGCTCAGAAGACTGTTTCCTATGTGTTTCATAGATTTATGTCCTGTGCACATGTCTCATATAGCTTCCATATCCCATGTTAAATGAAGCAGCAATTGCACATTTCCTGTATCTAATTTCTACCACATGAAATGAGTCCTACTGATCAAGTATAACTGCATAAATATACCTATAAAAACTTATTTTTAAAAAATTCTATTACCTCTAAGTGATTCCGCCGCTCTGCAATGACTCGTTCATCCTTGTTTCCAAATAGCTTTTTTGGGGGAAATTCTAGCATCGTCAGCTGCAAGAGACAACAGACAATGAATCAGCTGAGAAAAGTTTCTTAAACATGAAGCACACATGGAGCAAAAAGGTTAAATGTAAGATATATGTGTTTATTGGATGGTCTACTAAATCAGAGAGAGAGAGAGAGTGAGAGTTTTGATTTATAGGCCCTCTTTTTACAAATCCAACCAGCTTCAAAACAAGCCAAAAACAAATAATGGAGAAAAGCCAGTAAATAAAACAGCAGCATTTACTACTTCAATGCTGGTCATAAAATTTAGAAACACACCAAATAAGTTGAAATAGGTGTGTTCTGCAGTCTTTTCTAAAAGCAGTTAAAGAATATATTTTATCCATATGTAAGCTATTGGAGAAATAGCCAAGGAAAGCAAGTTAAGAGACTTGTCAATTTTCCAAATGTATAATGTTACTTCCAACTTCAAAACAGGTTTTTGTCTCCTTCCTTTACTCTAAGACTGCTGTAAAACATGAGATCATCCTGTCCTGATGAAAGATAAAGCAGAGTCTAATCCATGAAAATTATTGTGGGATCTAATATAAACCAAATCAGATGATTTCTAAAATTTTTCAGTTCATAAAGAGGTTTAATGCCTGCACCTTGAGCTAATGAAGCGAACTGGCAGAAAGTGCTGACGTAAAATGGGCTGAATAAATTCATGAATTCCAATAATTATAAATTAACCTGTGTGGGACTATCTGAAATTTCCAGATCATTATTAAACTCAGACCATAAGAATTACAAAAGTATAGATCAGTACAGCAGAGTCTACACAATGAGTTTGGTTGCCAAAAAGAAAAAAAAAAAGCACCTAGTAGCTACAGTTGACTGCTTATTACAAAAGCAGTACTGTACTCTTCCTTTTCGATTTAGGGCAAAATCTGTGTTTTATTACCTACCACAGAGCCTTGGGGAAAAAGAAAGTTAAAGAAGAGCGTAAGTGCTTTCATATCTCTCATCATTTGATTTAGGTACACTACTTTCAACAGCCACAAATAAAAATATTAGAATGTTATTTTAAATGTCATTTAGGTTACTTTATGTCAACAGGCTTAGATTCCATGTCTTGATTCTTCGTCTTGATTTTCCATGTCTGACATGGGAAAAATCAGATGTAATCTTACTGTATTCTGTATACAGTGTCGAGATCTGCTTCATTTATGTTTGAGCTAATAATGGGGGGGGGGGAAATGTCCTACTTTCAGGTTTTTGAAGATTGAACAAGCTAACACAAAACAGAAGTACTAAAACTCAAAGTAAAAGAAGTGGATAAAAAAAACATTTTTAAGACAGAAGTAACACACATTTGCTAATTTGGAAATTTGACAACTCTATTATCTTGAGACATTTTTTCAGTAACTTATTTGAAGACAAAATAACCTTTGCCAAAATTTCTCCAGAGGCCTCAAAAGGCAATATAAAATTTGCTCTCAAACAGGTCAAAGGCCAAACAACAACAATGGCTACAAAAACAATAATTTAACTAAAGGGCTCCCCCGACCATCAAGGCAAAGGACAGTCTTCTTTTAAACTTTAGCCCCCCACCCCCACATCCAGCCTATTTCAGGTTAAGTTATATTTCTGAAAAATACAATTTGTTCTGAACTTGGAATGAACTATTTACTTTCCTATAACTGAAACTATTTGAATTGTTATCTGTCAATTCACACATATGGGTTATGCTTCTACACAGAGCTCATTTGGAATCCTCTACATCTTAAAAACAATTGGTAGAAGTTCCCCTTTGTGTATAGCACACATAATTAAGTACAGCTCTGACTGAATTTGTTCAGTCTCCAAGATCAACATACTGTAGAAGATGTTGGAGAAGGGGAAATGTCCAGCAAGTAAGGTAGGAGGGCAAGGATGCATGAATTCACATCTCATCAAAACCAAGGTCAGTATGTTTGCATCTTGGGCAATACTCAATGCTGCAGTAGAGGTGGAATAGATGGTCAGTCTCAAGGTTTTTCCCAGCAGGACTACAATGATAGCCACTGCTGAGGCACGTAACACCCATTTGTGCAGTGGATGGGATATGACTAAGTTGATTGCCCTGGACATTCCTTCTTCAACCTGTGAATTGTAACAATAAAAATCAAATGGACTGAGTACCAATGTACTTTGATATGTAAAACTGAAGTGGACCTCATATTACTCTATTTTTGAATGCATCAGATCACTGTAGATTTGTCTGATACAATCTTAACTGTTTGGACTTTGAAAAAGCTCCAGAAAATCTAGAGAACCTTTCAAATTGCAATAGCCCTATCAAGGCTATACAGCTGAGATTAGAAAGGTATGTGAACTGGGGTTTGGTAATCTAAAATTTCTCATAAACAAGGCCAAAAAAAAAAAAGAAAGAAAGAAAAGAAAAGGAAAAGGAAAAGGAAAAGGAAAAGGAAAAGGAAAAGGAAAAGGAAAAGGAAAAGGAAAAAAAGAATCATATTAAAATAAATAAAATAGAACTTTAAAAAGGAAGAATTCTAGAATTGGCAGGCTCTAAGAACAAACATGCTACCACAGTGGCAGATGAAAATAAATTGAAGAAATTTAGCAGGAGTTACACTACTTATCTATATTATTCACAAGTTGGGCCTCTTGCCAAGGTATTCTGTAAGTTTGTGAAGAATTCTAGACAGGCTCTGCATAGGCCTGTAATCTATGTGTATGAATTAAAGAGAAAATGATGAAGCAATTACGGCTTATTCATAGTACTACTGTTGTAGTTCATAATTCTAGATGAAATTCTTTCCAATAATGAATTTATTGTATTACTCATTATTGGGGTAGCTATTAATAGTCAGAGATGGGGTTACTCCAGGTCAAAGAATAATCACTGTGCTCTTGTACACTGCAATATTTACAATAAAAATGTGCTTGTGTGGGACAGATCTGGACTGCTGTACTTTGGTTAAGTATAGGTCATTGCTTTTACTCCATATATATCTTAACTCTGATTGTCTATGTAAAGATGTTGCTGTTTTTTGTAACACATGAACATTCGGTCAAGAAACACAGGTTGAAAATCTCCATGAGAACTAGGCCTTAAGTGGCTTCGCTGTTTCTCCCCATATACTTTCCTAATTTCACTCTGATTTGTATGTGGAACCATTCATTCAGTTTATTATATTCTCAAACAGGGAGGGACAGAAGCACAAATAAATAAGTGATTAGTAAATGCTGTTATTTGTTATTCTCTCCAGCTTGACCTCAGCTTCAGTCAAGCATCTCGTGGTCTTCTCAGCCCAATTAATTTTCTCAAGTCAAAGTGGGTAAAATACACTTTCAGTTGCCCAGATGGTAAAAATTACTCAGCAGCTACAACACTCACGTGATTCTCTTTTCATTAACCCAACAGAATAATCAGACTGAAAACAAAGTAGGCAGCTGTGCATCCAACAAAAACAGGACATAACATCCAGCCTGCAGGTGGCTTCTCCCATCATAGGTCTAAAAAAAGGCTCTCCCTTTGCCACTGAATCATGCCACTCCCATGATTCAGCTTTTCTATTCTTTGCCATGGGGCATTATTTTCCACATCCTTTTCCTAACGACCCTGACTTAATAATTCTGTTATTAAATAATATGTAACATTTACCTCTCAGCTCAAGGAGACTCTTAATAATTTTAAAGAAAGACAGTATGGTTAATTTCTGTAGCAATAATGACTGGAATCCCATCCAATATTATATAGGCATTTGGGGGAGATCTAGGCAACAGAATTTACTGCATTATTTTAAAATCAGTCTGTCCACTGCTATTAAAGAAGCAAATTAAACTCAGCAGAAAATGTTTATCTAGGTTAGGGGCATCTTTCATTCCCAAAAGTAATTTCTGGACCTAGCTGGATATAGCAATAAACACTGGAAATATTAGGCATGAGAGGTAACATAATATGATAAATTACTCCAGCATTGTGTTTATTGTACACAGTGTGGTTACATTCATATGCAGAATGCTAATAAAAAGTGAATGCAGTGTAATTTAAAAGTTTATGCAAACATTTTGAAACGTTATAAACACTATGTAGCCTTAACTCAATTTTAAACTGTTTCCTAAATAAACACATAGGACTAGTAAAGAGTTTACTAATTAGTTACATCCTTCAAAAAATATTTCCAGAAAATATGTTCATTGCTACTGACTCGTTTAGTTCAATTCAAGATGCTCAGTGATATTCACTAGACTTCTAAATGTCCCATGTTTCACTTTCAACAATATATTTTGCCTGCAGCCGCATTCAAGTTTCTACAAGAATCACAGTTGAGTAAGAGATATACAGAGATTACACTTCCTAGCATAAGCCAAAATTCCCATGTTTGGTTCCACTATTTTGAAGAATTTTACAGCATGGCTAACTTTCATTGTCTTTCCACAACAATAATAGAAACAGAAATTTAAGTGATCCGCTAGCATGTCAACCAATAAAGTTATACATTCAAATGCTACCTTACTTTTATACTCATGATGGTCTGAAATTTAGACCATCTAAAATTTCTTTAGTTTCCTGATTATGCACAGAAAAGGCATCAGATTGCTAGAAGGCAGGGTTCAGCTATTTTTCTGGGTACCAAATAACAACAAATGGGCCAGTCACTTTCTCTCAGCTCATCTCACCTCACAGGGTTATTGTTGTGGGTAAAATAGGAAGAGGAAGGAGTAGAGGCAGTCCTCACTTAACAACCACAACAGGGACCAGAAAATTGGTTGTTAAGCGAGGCAGTCTTTAAGTGAGTCACCACATGACCAAACCCAATTTTACGACCATTTTCTCCAAACCCTAAACAACAAAGGCAAGAGAAATCAAACTTTCAAAATACTCCCACAGAACAAAGGAACTATGTTATCAGGCAAGTCATTAAGCAAATCACATGGTTGTTAAGTGAATCTTTTTTTGCTGGAATTCACTTAACGACCATGTGATTCACTTAGCCCTGGTGATTCACTTAATGACCACTGTAAGAAATGTTGCAAATCATGATCACATGACCTCA